TTATGTTTTTATTTTTATTTTTTAAAAGATTTTATTTATTTATTTGAGAGAGAGAGAGAGAGCGTGCATGAGCAGGGGGAGGGGCAGTGGGAGAGGAAGAGGGAGAAGCAGACTCCCTGCTAAGGTGGAGCCTGACATGGGGCTCAATCCCAGGACCCTGGGACCATGACCTGAGTTGAAGGCAGACATTTAACCAATTGAGTTACCCAGGTGCCCCAACATTCTTTTTTTACTTTTGAGAAATATATTATTACAAGTTAAAATGTTGACTATGTGCTTTTAACTATTACTTCTTAATTATGTGAGTACATGTTTATTTTTAAAATAGTAGTTCACAGTGATATCCAGGAGCAGAGGAATGAAATACCCATTTATTGTTCTTCACTGTGAGATAGAGAAGACAAAAAATGGACAGAGTTTGCTGAATGAAATTTTAAGTAGTCCAAGGATGAATCAGTTAAGGCTGAAAAACCCATATTTTGGAGAGAGTATTAGTATTAGAGTATTGAGAGATTTTCTTCCATGGTCAAAACAAGGAAACACATTTCTAAGTTGTTATGAGGCACAAAATCTTATATTTAGAAAGGATCTTCTAAAACAAATTGTTCACTGTTCTCAGGGGTAGCAGATGAGTAACATGAAACACAACGAGACCACCTCATTTGTTCCCAAGAACCCACCCTTTTTTTGGTAGCTGTGCAAGGCTTACAATTTGGACCTTTACTCTCTATCTAGTGCTTTCTTATGTTGCCAGGTACCTTACTGCCTATAGGTGCCTTATTCCATTCCTCATTTTCTCCCACTGAGAACAATATATTCCTGGAACTCATATTTATATTCCCCCTAACCAAACTTTGAGCTCTCACAGCAAAAATATTCAATCTATTTTTGTGTTTAATAGCTAACAAAATTCCTAGATGCAAAGTATACTTAGAAACTCTCCAGTTACTATGAAAACAATGTTTAGATATTATGTTTTCAAAATTTTAAATTATTGTTACTGGATCATATATTATAATTTTGCAATCTTTAACTTGTTAGCAGAGCTATGTGTGCATACCATAAATTATGACAGCCTGGATCCAAAAGATAAATGTCCAAAGCATAAACCCATTGGGGAGGAGAATTTAGGAGTTTCTTAAGTATAATAAAACTCATTACTTGTTGCATGAATAAGAAATCCATGCAAAAACCCTCTCCTCTTGCAATGCTCATTTTGAATAACCACCCAATTGCAGACCCAGTTATAGACCAATAGTAACATTCCATCATTTAGGACTGAAATTTTACTCCCATGTCTTTGTCTCCAATATGCTCTTCTATGAAAATAAGAATAAGAGTGCATTACACATTATACAACTCTATCCAGAAATATATTAATGCTATATATTCCAAACCATTAATTTCTCACTTTAAAACTTACCCCAAGGACCCCAGTATTTTGTTAAAATAGGATAGTATGTATGGGAAAAAGCAGAAGGGCTCAAGGATATTGTTAAAGGAGAAGTTAGAGAAATGGGAACTACAATGAAACTTGTTTTATTAAAGAAGACACAATATCCAATTTACCCAGTTTTTTTTTTTTT